TTTATCCTTTTAGCATACCTGGACTACCCTACCCTCTCTTTTTCTAATTTTAGTGTCCATAATAGAAAATCAGGCTAACAACTACAAAAACTGATTCTCACCTGAACCTGCATTCTTTTTACTGAACAATCCTAACACCTGAAGGCCTATTTAAAATATTTTCTGTTCCTCAAGACCAAGACCTGACCTTAGCCCCCTAATTTTTTGAGACAGTCTCCCTCTGTTACACTTTGTAGAGTGCTATGCTGTCATAGCTCACAACAACCTCAAACTCTTGGCCTTGAGGAATCCTCTTGCTTCAGCCTCCCAAGTACCTGGGAACTACAGGCATCCACCACTACGCCCAGCTAGTTTTCTTAGTTTTAGTAGAGACGGGTCCTTGCTCTTGCTCAGGCTGGTCTTGAACTCCTGAGCTCAAGCAATTCACCTGCCTTAGACTCCCAGAGTGCTAGGATTACAGTTGTGAGCCACCTTGCCTGGCCTGGCCCCCACTTTTTTTACAAAGTGGAAGGATAATCCACTTGAGCTTCCCTTAAATTTCCTCTCATAAGGTATCCTACCATGATCTGACTCTATCAAGCTTACTCAGTTCCTCATTTATAATTCCATGCCTTTGTCCATACCATTACTCTACTTTCCTCATCCTCCCATTCCTGATTCTTCTTCCATGAAGGCTAGAAACACACCAACTACTTTATTAATTAATTATTTGAGACAGAATTTCACTATGTCACCCTTGGTAGAGTGCTGTGGTGTCACAGCTCACAACAACCTCAAACTCTTGGGCTTAAGGGATTCTCTTGCCTCAGCCTCCCAAGTAGCTGGGACTACAGGTGCCCACCACCACACCAGCTATTTTTTTGGTCATAGTTGTCATTGTTGTATAGCAAGCCCGGGCCGGATTTGAACCTGCGAGCTCCAGTGTCTGTGGCTGGCCCCCTAACCACTGAACTACAGGTGCGGAGCCTAATTCTTAATTTTAGTGGCAAAAGGCAAGATGGTGTTCATTAAATAAGATGTGCATTAAATATTAGGTGCCTGTATTTGGATTACACTGATCTAAACTGAGGCATTTCTTTGCCTATACATGTGTGTAAGCCACTCATACTATGCAATATTTACTAATAAGCAACTAAGGGTGATTTTGTTGTTTTGTCGTTAATTCTCTGAGGCCCATCCCGCCCCCTTTCTCAGGTCTTAAGCAAAGGTCCAGTTGATTCTTTTCCAAAGAAATTAGGACATTTTTTCAGGCCTGCTTTGACTGCCAGATTTTCCAAAAGATCACTTCTCTCCCCAGCTAGATTGATTCTTTGTGATGACAGCTTTCAACCTAACCTCCAAGGAGGTTGAAGTGGCCTACTGAGGGTCAACCTTCTTGAGATTAAACCCAGGCAGCAAGACCTTAAAGACCCTACCTATCAGACTGGAAGTGTATAGGGCCACGTGCGTGCACTAACCTGCCAAGATCTTCAAAGACTTTTTTTTTTTTGAGACAGTTTTATGATGTCACCCTCAGTAGAGTGCTGTGGGGTCACAGGTCACAGCAACCTCAAACTCTTGGGCATTCTCTTGCCCCAGCCTTCCAAGTAGCTGGGACTATAGGCACCCACAACACCCAACTATTTTTTGTTGCAGTTGTCATTTAACTGGCTGAGGCAGGGTTCGAACCCACCAGCCTTGGTGTATATGGCTGGTGCCATAACCACTGTGCTACGGGCACCAAGCCTGCAAAGACATTTTTAAAACTGAGTTTGCATATCTATTCTAGACTAGAAGAATTAAAACTTCAATCAGACTCATTCTTCTTTGGCACGGCCTAGCCTTGATTCTGGAGACCAAATACCCGTCCTGGCTAGAACCAGAAAGTGTCTCACTGTCCACCAGATGGCACTGTTGGCCAGCAGTAGTTCTAAAAGGCCAGGCTTGCGAATGGGACACATAATCTGAAGGCTTCTTTTTTAAACAGCTATGCCCTCCACTCCCAAATGTATCTCTACACTGCCGTTATGACAAAATATAGTAAAAAAGATGACTTGATCTGTACATAGAAAACCTGATCTAGAATGATTCAGTAACTGACAGCTATTATTGCAGTTCACATCTTCACTCTTCAATACATTATAGACACCTATGGTAGACTATGCTGCACAACAGTCTTCACTTTAATTTTTTAAAATCAAAGTTTTAGCCACAACTGCCCACAGATGAAAAGAGTTACCATAAAAAATGGACATGAGGCTTGGTGCCTGTAGCTCAGTGAGTAGGGCGTTGGCCACATACACCGAGGCTGGCAGGTTTGAGCCCAGCCCGGGGCCCGCTAAACAACTGCAACCAAAAAAATAGCCAGGTGTTGTGGAGGGCACCTGTAGTCCCAGCTACTTGGGAGGCTGAGGCAAGAGAATTGCATGGGCCCAAAAGTTTGAGGTTGCTGTGACGCCATAGCACTCTACCGAGGGCAACATAGTTAAGACTCTGTCTCAAAGAGAAAAACTGGACATGAGGCATTTTACTACTGACTATAAGAATATATTCAACTTTCACCAATTTCTGAGTAAGAAAACAACTTTTTCCTTTCTCAACTCACACTGTCACCAGACATGTAACCTCCAGACATCAATCTCAGAGGACAGCCACAAGGTGCTCCGTATTCTTTTTTTTTTTTTGAAACAGAGTCTCACTTTGTCACCCTTGGTATAGTGTCGTGGCATCATAGCTCACAGCAACCTCAAACTCTTGGACTTAAGCGATTCTCTTGCCTCAGC